ATATATTTCAGTGTGGCACATGATTAAAACTCACAAAAGCAACGTTTGAGTGAGATGATGAAGCTTTAATCATACTGAGGCTGGTGGGTTCTCATAATCAGTAGATGCCAAAATGCAACAGTTTCATTTGACAGACTAAAAAATATGCACATTTAAAATTACATAATTGCATTGAACCAGCAAGCATCCCATAAAGCAATTTAAAAATCCTATATCAKTAACTATTTCATGTTCGATGCTGAACCTGATCCTCCATGACCCAGCAAAGAAAAGTGGGGTGAAGAGAAAGGTTGGATGGATTTGTCATTAAAACAGAAGTGCTTCTAATTGTTTGAAGTACAAACAAATTCTCCAAAGTTAAAAAAAAGAAGAGCAGAACATATCTTTCTAAAAATAAGTACCTTCCCTTATGGAAAATTCTAAACATAAAAACAAGGCTTGTGCATCTTTAGCGAGTTTAACGTCACAGAAAATAAACACAAACGGATCAGCTATGTAGCAGGAAATGATAAAGCATTACAGTTTCTCAAGGGAATTTTCAGCACTAAAAAAATATCAGAATCTATAAAACAAAACAATGAAAATTAGTTTTTTTTATTTTACAGTACACATGGTTGCATATTCTGGTTTTACATAACCACCAATAAAATGTTCCTCTTGCAGTGAGTTCCTGAGCTGTAAAAATCAAGTGAGATATGGTAGGTAAAATATTTCATTTCATCAAGGACTGGCCTAAACTTAATTAACAGTACAAATACAAAAATATAATTTCTTTTGTTTAAAGTGGACAGTGTCAAAGACRAATGCATCCAGTGCATTATTTACATCACAATGCATATAAATAAGAAGACTCAAACAAATAAAATTCTTCATTAAAATACATTGCACATTTTGTTAGTCAAGAAAAAAAAAACGTGAATAATTTACGCTTCCTTATATTTGGTCCTTATTTATCTGTTTAAATGAATAAAAGAACAGTGCCCCCTAGTGGTGCTAAAGTGTACAGAACGTAAATGGCACAAAGTGTCTAACCAGCATTTTTGTACAAGTCTTTTCCAAAGACAAAATCCCTGTAAAAATACAAAAACAGTTTACCAAAAAATAAAAAATAAACTACCTGAGCAAAACTGATTTATCATTCATATACAGTAGGAAGCATTTTAAAACACTTGCGTGACTCAAAAATATACAAAAACAGGAAACATCCAGATGTTTACATAMAGTGATCATTATTTTTTTGTTGATTATGTCCAGTAGTCTCTGAGCAGTTTCCTTCCTTTATCAAACATTCAACAGTTTTTGAACAAATAAATACAACTTACAGCAAGATTTACACAAAAGTTTGTTGGAAGACTGTGGCTGATACAAAAATCGGTACAGCACAAATAGTTACAACTATTCCCTTTATAACGTTGCTCAGCTGCTTCTCATAAAGAAACAATGAAAGAACTAAACGATTAGTCATATTCACTGCCATACCCTTGGTGTGGATCTATATTTTCATAAATTGAGATTGCGGCTGCGTTTTGGTAAATTAGATCTACATTGGTCCCTGTTCTYGACCGGATGATGTCAAAGGCACACTGGTTTAGGAACACATACTGGTCCTGCAGGCAGAAACAAACAAACCTGTGACAATCATTTCAAACAAAGTCTAAAAAAAAGAAACTCAAACGAGTTTGTGTCCCACCTCTGTCTGCACCATGAGGGGTCGATGCATTCGCAGATCGTGAACAATGCCGAATACGTCTACAATATTTTCCCTTTCGATCTGGTAGATCAGCCGATCGATGGCTATGAAGGTGCCTGTGCGCCCCACACCGGCACTGTGGGTGGAGAACACACACGTTTATGCTGGAAACCTCGCTTCAAACTGAATTCGAAAAGGTGAGTATTTGCATGCTTTCCAACCTGCAGTGGACCACAGTGGGGGAGTGCTGGTACTGGTTCATGTGCTCTCTGACCAGATGTCTGAAGCTGATCAGAAGCTCTGTGGTTTCTGGAACGCCGTGATCCGGCCAGGCTGTGAAGTGGAACTGACGAACTGAACGGACCTCGGTTGTTTTTACCTGGAGGACAAGAAGGGCAAGAGTAACGCTAAGACAGAAGATCCCAGGTCTTAGGCTGAGAAAGGTTTTCAAAACTCTTGAACACCTACATTTTTAATGTCGAAGTCCCTGATAGTCCAGTCCTCCAGCGTTATTTCAGAGGTTATTGTCACAGTGAAGTCGTCGCAGTGCTTGGTGCCATAAGCCCAGTACTGCTCACATTTGACCTTGAGAGGAAAGATGGTAAACCAGTCAAAGCAAACTAAATGTTCATCAAATTTACAACAATCTTAATTCAAGCTAAACTCAAAAACTCTGATATTTGTATTTTCATATTTATATAATAAATGCAGCTGCTTTCACATTAACCAAATCATTTTTTTTCTAAATTTAGCATTTTATTTTACTTTAAGCAGTTAGAAAATTAAAAATGTGAGAAATGATCATTGGTTGTAGTTATGCTATAATATTCTCTTTATAAATGCAAATAAATTCTTCTTGTGCAATAGTTTTTATCCTAGGAATACGCTTCTGGTTGTCCTGAGATAATAAGTTTGCTCAGTTGGTTGTTATTTTCTGTTTGTACTTACTCTTCCTTGTTCGTTACAGCGTGTTAGCATGACCACAGTGTAAACGTTCTTCTCCCAGATCATTCTCCAGAAGTCGTTGACTGTTATGGGCAAAGGACCCTGAGCTGCAATGTACTCTTTCCTGGAGAGGTAACCCTGATGTAAAAAAATAATAATAACAGTAATCAGCCGGTCAATAATGTTTTTAAGAAGATTTTCTGAACGTGGATGAAGGTGGAAATGTTCAAGCTGCATGATATGAAGGAAAACAGGAGTTATTTGGTTCCAAAGGATGAAGCTGAGAGCAGAGTTTAACAGTGTAAGTACGCACCGGCATGTAGTTAGCATTGATGTAATCTTCATTCGGATTTCCGTGGATAATAGAGAGTTTCACCCTTGAAGAGTCATCTAGAATTTGAACACGAATGTAAATGTGTGTTAGATTAGTAAAATTTAGTTTTTACAGAAAGTAAAAATGGTCATGACTTGCAGGTGATGAGAGATGATAATATTAGAAGAATGAGGACGGGTTAGTGTCAAAAGCAGGAAACATAAATTGAAGGGGACTTACAAGGAAGCACATTATTGTAGCGGTTTTTAGGCTTGTTGTCTAAAGACATGGCGTGGAGCTTTGCCTGAGCTGTACCAACAGATTTCAGATCCTGGGGAGAAAAAGTAGTTTAGTAAACATTTGATGGCTACAGAGGAAATAAAAAGCAGCAATTTTACAAGTTTTTTTTAAACAACAAACATGACGATTTTGTGTCCCTTTTGTCATCTACACTGAAAATGAAAAATGCTTTACATTTACTCAACTCAGCTGAGCAGAACCAGCTGAAATAACTTGGTTAAATAAATCAAATTCATCTGTTTTTGAGTGTATGAAATATGAGTGTGCCATCCATGAATAAAATACAAGTTTCAACACAAATAACTTAAAATACTGTCAAGTATACGCAAGTGTCAGTGCAACTCTTCCAAGATGAAGTTTCATTGTGAAAAGCAAACTATTATTAAGGTATCTACAGAAAAGTCTCTGGTGTTGGGAAGCTTTTATGTAACAATACTAGAGATA